GGCGGCCCGCGGAGCAGGGCCAGGGCGGTGAGCAGAGCTGCCCAGAGCGCGGGGCGCGCCCGATGCATGGCGCCCGACGCAGGAGCCAACTGGAGTAAGCGGTTACCGGGTCGCGGCACGCGGTGCGAGATTGCGGGATCGGGAGCGCAACTACCGGTGCTCGGCGCGCAGCTGCCCAGCTCGCATCTGGGAAGCCACCGGCGTGCCGACCGCTATATAGAAGCCGGGATGGCCGAGGACACGCCCCGGAACGGCGCGCGGGAGGGGGGGAGGCGCAGGCACGGCCACGGGGGCCGGCGCCTCGCCAGGGAAGCGGGCGCCGGACGCGGGGGCGCGCGCCACGCGGCTCGCCGGGGCACCTGCTCTCCCGGTGCTCGTCCGGCTCCTGGGGCCACTCCCCTCCGCACCGTCGCCCCCAGGTTACTTTGGCACCCCGGTGTCTCATCTAGATGGCTCTGGTTTTCCTGCTCACTTCTAGCCAGCTAGGCGCCCCTGGTCTCTCGGACGCGGCCGCCCTTCCCCCGCCCGGGCGGGCCGGCGCGTCCGAGTGAACCGTCGGGCGCCAGGCTTGCATTTGTATGTAATTTGCAAAGCTTTCTGGATTGCAGCCCCCCGGAGGGCACGTAATGGGGACGTTTCTGAATGAGAATTCCTGGTTTACCTTGGAGTCTCGGGGGCTGTGGCGCTGCGGGTGGCACCCGCACCCGAGGAACCCGGGCCGGAGCGGGGCGCACGAGGCGGCGTTTGCCTTTCCCCGGCTTGCTTCACCGAGCACGTGCGGGGTTTCACCGCCAGACCCGGGTTAGCAGACAGGCTTGGCAGGGAACTCGTCCCTAGGACACTTTTGGAAGATTTGAAGGTATTCGAATCACGTTTTCAGGTAGAGTTTATATCAGCCACAAAAGAATCAGAAGGACCAAAGTGAGCCTTTTTGCGGAAGCATGGGTAAGAACCAAATCATCCTGACAGCCGGCCATCTTCACAGTTACTTTTTTGGAAGGCCTTGTTGGAGCCCTGTACTGAATTCTCAGCGGGGCGTTCAAGTGGAGATGGATGGCGGATCTGTGCAACTCTGAACACTTTGAGGCGCGGTTTAAACCCTGGGCGCGATCGCGCCCTTGAGATCCTTAGGACCCCGTGGTCCTTCCCTCGGTGACCACCAGAGGACGCGAATGGACCAGGTTTGGATTGGGATATGTCGTGGCTCTTGTGCAACGTGGATGCCGCGACCGGAGAGCGAAGACTTCCCGCTGTCGGTATTCACCTTACATAGAAGATGGAGAGTTATCTTGGAGACCTAAGCAGTTTGCCTCGGAATAGTAACGTAGCACCGCCTGCCCCGCCCCTCCACAAGACAGCTCCCAGTGAAGTTATCATTCATATAGTTCTCTGGATTTTGTCTGTCTCTTCTCCCTCCACCTATTTATCACCCTTTATTAATATACATCCTCCTTTTAGAACTGGAACACCGATTTATTTCTCCCTTTTAAAAACTTGTAACAAACAATAATGATGTTAACACTTGGGCCTTTACAAAGGCTTAACAAGAGAGAGTTGGCAAGGCACGAAGCATTATCATACAGAATACAGATGTGCCCAGAACTTAGACGTGAATGCCAGGTTGGCCAATTTCTCTGCACCTGTGCAAAACCCAAATTGTCCTTTGACATCAGACTCAGAGATTTCAATGTACTGAGCAGAGAGTCCCTAAAGTTTTCACAACTTCTATTTTTTGCCTTTTACCCTTCAGTTAAAGATGGCCTAATGTGGTGGATTGATTTGGTCGTAAGTGGAGAGAGAGAAAAAGAGGGGAGGGGAGGGAGAGTGGGGCAGTGGGAGAGCAAGCGGGAGAGAGAGCAGAAGACTCAAAGTGTGGAGGCCTTGTCCTTCCTGGCCTAGTGAAGCACAGTGCCTTTTTTTCTTA